CTGTAGATGAGTCTGACCTACACTGCGCCAGCCAAAGGGTTTACAATAGACCCTATATTTGAGGAGGGGGCTCCTTTCAAAGTGGTGGTGTCAGGACATGCAAAATCACTTATAACTCAGAAACTATTAAACATAGAAGCTTCAGATTTCTTTGGTTGTTTAGCTCTGATGATGGGCTATCCATCAGGTCCAACCCCGCCCCCCAAATACCCACTACAATTTTAGGATGCACCAAGTAGCATGATATTTATTAGGAATAGAGACTTCTGAGTTCTGGTGCATTTGTGCGTGTGGGGGGTCATTATGTTACCGCTATGCGGTGTCTAGTTGTTTAAAGTAATTTTTAGTACCTTTATCAGCTCAATCATAGAATATTTGGTATTGTAGCGTTTTTATTATCTGTTTACACCATCTGAACTGACCTTCAAAATGACCCAAGTTTCTTTAACACGACCAGCGTTGGCGGAGGATGACAACCACCCAGGAGGACAAGAAGCCGTCGGAGCCTGAAGAATTCACACACGCAGGAAGCGTGGGGGAAGCTCCTGTCTAGCCAAGATTGCTCAGGTTCAAATGATCGGACTGTCAGGACTTAATGTGGTCTTTGGGGGAAAATTTGACAAATGGGCGAGTGAAGTGTGCAGAGGAAAAAGCACTTCACTTGTTTGACTCCGGCTCACATCGCAGTGGGAAACTTTTGATAAATGAAGAAGACATTTCCTTTGGCAGTAAAACCTCTGACCACAAACTGAATGGAACTGTAGCTCTTCGCTGCTCCTGTACATCTGGACTGAAGTCACCACTTTTGTTTCTGAGCTTCCCATTAATGTCCTGAAAGTTGTCCAGATGAATTAAAAAATCTGGAACATTTGGATATAAAGCGTATAAGTAGAGTAAATCAAATTGTTTACTCTACTTTCATGCTTTTATGACGTGTCAAAAAAATAAATATAATTTTTAAGTGAATTTAGGTATAACAGTCACCCCACACAATTAAATATTTTTTTTAGATTCATGCTTTTAGCTTTGAGTTCTGTTTATTAAATAATGTTCATGACATGTTTAGGACTTTAGAAAACTACATATTATTGTAATAAAATTGCTAAAACTTGTAAATTTTGAAAAATAAAGGAAAAAGACAAAAAATGCACATCTAAAGCACTTTAATGAGCTCGGTGAGAATACTTGGATCTTTTAAAGGACTTTGAGCTTATACTCTTATCCATAAATAGGGGTTTAAATGCACAGTTATAACATTAAATAGCTACAGGTCTGCACAGCTTTAGTACTATAATACTGCTTTTAAGTCCTTTAGCATTTAATCATTGGTTTTGTCAGTGTCTATAAAAAAATATTGGGACTTTTTTATCAACCTAAAAGAGTGTTTTGTGGCCCGTATCAGCATAGTTACATTTTAAGTAAAAACACCAATGACATAATTTATTTAAGTGATTTCTTTTAAACAGTTTGGGGAAAATACTTCGTAAATTAACCAACATTTAAAAATCCTTCAATTTATTTTCACAGCAGTAATAGACTTAACTACGTTTGCATGCTGTAAGGTCTATAACACTTTGAAGTGTTTATCTTTTCGGCTGGATTGACAAATTATGAGATGTGCCTCAGTTTTCATGTCAGTAAAAACTGATTAAAAACATAATTCTACAACGTGATGCCATTCTTTATTGTCAGTAAGTCCCACTGTGACAAGGAAATGACTCCGGTAACTGTCAATATATAGTTTGCAGAAAAGTTGCATTATATAAGTAAACAGTACTATGTCTCATTCATCTTCCATTTCAATCCTTATGTTCTCCTTATTAACACCAAACACACCAAAATGATGAAGTGTCAAATCATCTGAAACACATCATCTTTTTTGTATTTGCTCCTGATGGGACTATTATTCACTAAGTAAAAATCATGCTCTGTTAAACAAGATGCAAAACTAGAGATTCAGACCAAACGATAAGTCAAACCATTTCTTTCACATATTAATGAGATCTTTCTTTTTTTAATGTGCTGATAATAAATAAACTAGAAAAGTTGCTGGAGAATGCATTCAATATTTTACTCTATTAACGTGTCTGCTATGCAATAGTATAAATGTGACATAAATAATGGTGAGTAAAGTCAAGACTTAATTCTTTTTGTATTAGCATTTTCATATTAAAGCTGTTGTGTTCAGCTTCCATTGTGCTGACAGATAAAACTGTGCAAAACCCTGTTTAGTTTCTGAATAACTTAATAAAGTTAAACCCAATAACTGAGGCAGAACGTTGGGGTGAATCGACTTAAATCATCTTTAATTGCATGTTGATATACTAGAAAGAGAAATCGAGGGGGATTCAAAGCCAACTGAGGGACAAGATGGCAACACTCAGTGTCCACCGGTTTATGACCTTTCTGTATGAGAATGAGCAAACAGTGTGGGGAAAACCCAACAAGATCATGACGCTGGCACGGCAGAGCCCTTTTTTTTAGAAATATCTTCATGAAAGGTTACTTAACATTTGCTACACTTCCAAAATGCTACATTGGATGTCCTCTCAAATATAACAATAAAGTGTGTCTTGTTCTTAGCACGCATACTCGTCACATCTGCTCCCCAAAATGCTTACTGTTCAAATTGTGCTGCTAAAAACAAAGGAGTCATAAAATACAGAAACAAAAAAAGAAGAATTTAACAGGCGAGTGCTTTGTCATGAGGCACTGAAACATACCTGCTAAAAAAAAAAAACTATTTTGAATCCATCACAAACCAAATTTTTCATTAAAAAAACACTTTTCCTCTGACATGCCCAGAAAATTCAAGCTTTTTTGGAATGACGGTCCGATACATTTTCAAACAAATGTCATGCATGAAAGCAAATCCATCACATTATATCTTAAACAAATAAGCAACCATACAATCATCATCAATGAATGTCAAATTCATTATATCAGTTTAATTTGCTAAAACTCATAACGCAACCTTCAAAAGTTAGTTCTGAGCCGATATAAAACTAATCGTTGGAGCTGTCCGTTTGTTCTGAAAGCCCTAATTCTTATTAAGCAACGACAAAAGCAATCACTGGGATGAACGCAGCGGAGATGATTTATTTAGAGGGGACTTTGGACGAACAGTTTGTACTCATCACCTCTGCCTCACAGAAGACTGCCAACTCTTTATTTTTTTTTTCACAAGGTGAAATCCAAAGTGGTGGAAAGGACAGGGAAGATGAGATAGAGACCTTCCCTCATTGGCTGGGTGATTTATAAATCAACAAATCAGACAGATGGAGGTCAGATGGGCACAGAGTTAACTCAACATCCACTCTCTACCTGGTGGGGCGTGCGTTTCAAAAAAGATGGGCGCGTCGGAGCTGGGGCAGCCGTTGACCTATTTCAGCATGAAGGACGTGCGACGGAGCGATAGCAATTTGAAAAGGCTGAAGGTAGCACGCTTGTCCTTTCTGACACCGCCCGCAGGTGGTATTTACAATCCAAGCCGAGGCGAAACAGAAAGAGATCAGATAGTGCATTCATTTTTTTTGTTCCATTCTTAAGATAGCAGGGTGGGCCAACAGCACAAAGAATACCATTAATGCCAGCATTTGCAATAAAAGCCGCGTGTATTTTTTTGCCTTTGTGAAAATGTCAGTCTGAAAGGTTATGATGGAGGAAACAGGGATCCAAACCAAAAAAAAWAACAGGAGTCATAACACGGTTATAGGAACCACACACAATGGTGACACGGACAGATGAAAACAAACACAGATTCGAACATTTAACAGCTGCAGCGGAAGCATCGACACACAAATTCACGTGGGATTTCCTGAAAAGAGCGCTCGACAAACAGCACACAGGTGAATGGCAAAACGCCCGATTTAAAAAAAAAAAAAGTGAAAACGTTTTCCCCTCACTCAGCAGATAAGTTGTCGAACACAAAGAGTTTAATTTAATCTGTGGCGATGACGATTGTTCTCGTTGCAACACAAAATGATAGAAAACACAGCTTTTAGCAGGATGGCGCTTTGCTYTTTTTAGTCCTAGAGGAGCAGAGAGGGGGAAAAAGGAGCCCCTCCATCACATAAATAAATCAGCAACTGTGCAAATGGTAGACAGCTTGTTTTGTTATTTCTTTTTTGAACCCCTTGAGGAAGAGGTTTGAACAGACTACCACTCAAAGCAAATGGTTTGTTTTTTATTCTCCCCTTCTCTCTCCTTTCAGTCCTAGCATTCAGTCAAGTGCAAAGAAGTCATTGTTGAGTGGAGGCATATGTATTTTTGGCACATGTTTTCTGTCAGCTATACACGAAGGTGCACATACAGCACAGTAGGCATGAGGTCTGGGACAGTAGAAGCGGACAGAGCGCAAAGGACATCCATTGCTGGAAAATTTCCCAAAAAGGAAAAAAAAAAAAGTCTGACGAGTTTCTTTGTGGTCGAGTCCCAGAATTCCAAGGAGTCATCTGTATTTTTTTTTCTCTTTAGCAAGAGATGAAACTGACAAAAAAGTTATAGAAATTTGTTAAAACTACATAATATTTCAAAATACATGAGGAGTCAAGTAAAACATTATATATGCACTTTGCTTCTAATGTTTTAAAACCTTTGTTTTAAGTTTCTTTTCATTAAATATATGCATATAAGTAGATCTTTTTTTAAATTATAGCTCTTTCATTTAATTATATCCTATTTACAGAACGTCAAATATTGAGAGTGTGGAAGTTTGAGATGCGTCTCGGGGGGTGTGAGGTTTATTTACACCATGCTCCGAGAGCCGCTCGCAGTCCGGTGTAAAGTGAGGCGGGGGTCCGGCGGGATGTACTGGTGTGGGTGGTTGTAAGGGGGCGGAGGGGGAGGCAGCGGGGGCTGGTGGCCGTTGTGGGAGCCRTCGGGCGAGCGGACAGGGGTGGACATGGCGGACTGGCTGAGCTGGTGGAGGCTGTGGTGGCGGTGCTGGTAGCGGTGGTGGTGGTGGTGGTGGGTGGGCGTCTGGCTGAGGAAGGCCTCCACGCGTCCGTGGCTGCCATTGTCCAGCATGATGACTTTGACGATCTGCTGACACTGGATGAGCGCCTCGGGCCGCAGGTCCGCCATGCTGGCGGCGGTCTGCTGCTGCTGCTGCTGCTGGATGGGGAAATGGTGGGCGGGGGTGCTCGCCGCCGACTGCAGCCACGGGTGCTGAGGTGGAGGCGCCGGCACCTGCGTTAACCCCTGGGGCCCCTGCTGGAAAAGCAGCTCCCCCCGGCTGTTAAGAAGGGCCGCGCTCTCGGCGCTCCGAGCCGTGCTGCTGTTGCTGAGCGGGTACGTCTGAAGCCTGTTGTGAATTGACACCTAGTTTAGAAAACAGCCAAGAGAACAGCATCAAATGTTATAAAACTGGTTCCTCCTCTACAATTCGTCAAGCCCTCTTTTTTTTTCTCTCTGTGGGGGTGGTGACACGCAGCGCACACGCACACACACAACCATTCAGGGCATGCGTGGGGGGGCTCAGGTGTTAAGGATCAGTGGAGGTGTAGAATCATTGTGACCGCTGCAGACTCCCCTCCCTCCACCCCCACAGGTGCTGGGAACATGTGACTGGGGTCAGGTGGAGTAGCAKTGAGGAGTGGGGGAGAAGAAAATAGGAAGATAAAAAGAAAAACAATACAGAAAAGGGGCCCCGTGGTTCCAAAGGGGACACTGAGGGCCCCTGTGTCTCCCTTCCAAACCACTGTGTGGCACTATGGTGACGGTGGACACAAGGAGACTTCAAGGTCAAGGCACCCGGAACAGAGAGACGGGAGGGGGTCAGACCAAGAAGAGGAGGAGGAAAGGAGGTGGGCAGACTCGACAACCACAAATGTCCACAGGCAACATWCATTTAAAATCTCACATTTCTGCTCTTTTACTGTTCCTCTTCTTCACTTCTTTTTATGATGCCATTAAATCTTAAAATCTGAACACTAGGATCTGTAAAGGTGAAAACTTGCTGACTTTAACAAAAAAGAAATGTTCCTCAGATTGATGGTTTTGGATTGCAGTCAACYATTCAAGTACAATACATCATGCTGGGTACTGTGGTTAATCCTGTCAAGGTTAGAATTAGTTTTTTTTTAAACATAGCAGCTGGTGCATCGTCATAATTCCCATTAATGCCACAAGGCACAAAGTAATCTCCACAGATTATTGATCAGTTCTTTTCAAACTGAAAGCTTTGCTGCACTGCAGTTTCTTCAGACGTGAGCCTTTCCTGTATGGAGTTTTTGTGCGTGAAGCGTCCTGCTTTCTAAGATAAATGTGTCTCGACAGCTCGCGGCTCCCCACCAGCCTCTGACATTTACTGCTGGCTTGGAAGGGAAGAAGACGTCTCGCAAAGGTAGCTCAGACAACCATGAAGACTGACCTGAGGTGCAAACGTASGTAAATAAAAATAAATAACAAAATCCCTCGAGGCAACTTAGTGAAGAAAATCTTTAGAATTCTTGGATGGGAAATAATTCAAAGCCCACATGACCAATTAAACAGCCACTGCTTGGGATTTCACTCCAGCTCTAAACTCCACAGCCACAAGAAGGACCCAGAAAGGTCATCTGGAGCCTTGAGGGTGGTAATTGCAAAGCCCCAACATCTCTACTGTAGCYGGCTCTTTTGCTTCATCAAATTGCTCRCATGAGATTTGCCCCCCTGGAGCTTCTSGTTTGGGGTGAAATGGGGGCAACTCTAGGTCAAACAAGTGTCTGATTTTTCTGACTGTATGTTACTGTGGTAATTAAGGTCTCACTGCTCAGTGTGGACACACACACATACACACATACACACACACACACACACTATATGCATACCACACATGCACTTCCAAACTATTATTTTCTCGAAATGGATCCACAGCTTCTGCCTGAGCAAAGCCTTTAGCCTTTTTTTAAATGGTATGAACTTACCCAAACCACTCTTTTGGACAAGATTGCTTTAATCTAAGAGTTTTATCAGGTWATACACATGCCCGCAGCACTTTACCCAGCAACATTCGCTCGCTCACGCACTCCTCACCCACGCCTGCTTGACGCCTCCAGTGCGAGAGCTATGACTAGTCCTGAGGTCTCTGCCCTGTCTCGTCCTACTCACTGACTTACCTGTTGTTGGGGACAAGGACCTATCTGGAAGCACTTACCTCTACTGCATTCTGGCCACTTCTGTCGTCCATCTCCTGGTTTCCTGGAGGTGGGAAACACAAAGAAACGGGGGACAGATGTGGCAGCATTATGAAGATGGTAAATATTAGTTTTGAAGCACAATAACTGTTTTCATGCAATTTTATTGCAGATCGAAATGCTCAAACTTTCTCAAGCTCAACACGGAAGTCATTAACTTCTTGGTAAGTAATTTTTTCCCCAAACATTGGTTGCAGAACTTTTTATTAATTGGTGATCCACGATTACTTGTAACATTCAACTTTACTTGACAGACATATATTTTAACTGTAAAATAAAGTCTGTAAAAATACTGTAGGCTGTTAATTTTTCATAATTTTTTTTAAAAATTGTCACATGGGCAGAGCCATTTTATCAACACCGCAATACCAGGTAAATGACACAGACTAGGTCATCCGTGCCAGACTACGAGCGAGCCTCATCCACCATGAAGGTTAACCTTGGACAACATCTGATGATGAGCCCTTTTAAGTGAAACCAGAGCGAGTTGACAGAGAGGAGAAATGACTCGGCCTGCAACTGAAAATGTGGATGGAGGACGACAGAGCTGCTTCATGGATGGAGAACCTCAGCTTAGCCTGTTAGCTTTCGACCGCACCGACGCTATATATATATACTGTATATATATATATAAGATGAGAATGTAGAAATGACTCAGCCTGCAACTGAAAATATGGATGGAAGAAAAAGTTTAGTTTGTTAGCTAGCGCCAAGCTAATAAATAAATATTTGGCGATATAGCGTTGGTGCGTGATAGCTAACAGAGACCTAAAATTTATAAAAACTAAACAGCCCACAGTATTTTTACGGACTCAGTTTTAATGTTAAAATAAATGTTTATCAAACGAAGTCTAATGTTACAAGAAATCTTGGGTCCCTTTAAGAATTTACATCAGGGATGGGCAACATAAACGATGAAAGGGGCCACATATTTTTTAATTGACACTACTAGAGGGCCAACAAAAGCACTCAAACCTGCTCTTAGATTCTAGGCCTCAGTGGTGGACCGGACGAAAGTCACCCGTGGGCCAGATGTGGCCCACAGGCCGTCAGTTGCCCATTCCTGATTTGTGGTTGGGATAGCTGATAGTTTTGTTAATATTCTCTTCAGATTCCTAATCTTCATATGAAACATTTGCTTAAGTATAATACTGTCATTGATCGTTCATCTTCTTTTCCATTAGAGATATTTATGGCTCTACTCTGTTTCAGTTATCTGTGGTTGTTTTAGCTGCTGATACCATCTTTTATTTGTTTACCTGCTCATGCTATGAAAAGTTACCCTTCAGCCCACAAAGGCAAATCCTCTGTGTAGCCCTTCTTATCATCTTTTACAAAATACAAACTATACAAATACACAGATCCTAACTCTGCTCCTTGATAAATATGTTTACTGCTTTAATCTGATTGGAGAATAAAAAAACATGCCAGATCACCAGGTCTCTACTCATTTATTGTAAGGTCTGTCTTCAGATCTGCCCAGATTCATGACTGCTTGGGTTTTCTGACCCTTTAGGGTTGATTTGGCACTTCAGGTCTGCCTGCTCACCTCACTCTGCAGCACTCACTTTGCTGCTACTGCCATCAGCAAACCCACTGCCCTGATAACTCTTATATATGTAAATTGAAAGTCTCTAGATAGCAGACATCAGCCAACCTCTGAGAACAGTGTTATGACTCACAGCAAGGTGGATAGCTGCAAATCAAGGGTTCTTATTGCAGAAAGCATCCAGTGGCTTCAGGGAATTGGTAGAAGTATGTCCCATAAAGTAGACAGTACTAAGAGTTAATTGAATTTTAAATATTCTAATTTGGAGCTTCATTATGATTGGTACCCTTTTTAAAAATCAATCAGCCGACTAAAAAAATGCAGGAAATTTCAGTAACAGCAGGTGGAAACCACGGGCCTTCAGGAATATTTTACTTGGCAAATATCAGCGCGTTTCAATAAACAGCTCTGTCATGATTAGCACAGGAGAAGGCATGCAGACCCTGTGGGACTGAAAAGCTTTGCCACACAATTATTACAAATATCTAGTAGTAGTGAGCATCGCAAGTGGTCTAGCATAACAAAAAAGTCTTTGGCAATTCAGCGCTTTTGAGGCTGAAATGCTGCAACTATTAAAACTCCGTGTTGTGCAGCGTCACGTGTACTTTCTTGCTCTCACACACCTGACAGGGAGCCCTGTTTGCTGCGCAGCTCTAGCTGTGTGCCGTTGCTCTTAACTGAGTGTGTCTTGGCTCCCTGCTGCTTTTCCAGCTCCCCTGCAAAAAAGGAGAAAAAAAAGAAACAATCATCCTCCTAACCACCATGACACAAGCAATATAGTTCAATCAAACTCAGTGATGTTTGAGTTCTCTGTTCTTTTTACTCCCATAACGCTCTCCTTCCCATCRACACCTGCTTGTTCTTCACATCTTGTTGCCCGTTTCCTCCCAAAGCTGCAGGCTTTAACCATTTTTTTCTGTGAAAAACCAAAGCAGCTGCTTCAAATGTCAGGAGGGCTCCCCGATGCCCACTGCCAGGACCCAGGCTGTGAAAACTCAGGGTTGTTCTCACCCGTGTGAAAGCACTGTACGTGCGAGGTGAACTGGGTTATTGTCCGTACATACACACCTGAGCTGCTAAGTTTCCAGACTTCCTACAGGTGGGTACTCCTTTTTGGTTTTAGATTAAAAAAAAACATACACCAGAGACTAAAGGACTCATTAGTTTAAAAAATATGAAAGCTATCATATTTTTTTTGTTGTCGAATGAACAGCACAAGGATAAACCAGCACAGTTGCATCTTATTAAAATAATAACTGGCATATGTTATCAACCATTTTTACATATTGGAGTTTCAACATTTTTAAAAAAGAACTCACACTCGATGCGTATCTGCTCCATCTCTGACACTTCTGCGATGGATTCCTTCAGGTCTTCTACAAACTTAAGCAGCTCTTCGGCACTTTGGGCACAGAAGTGGAGTACCTGCTTCTTCTCTGAGCCATATGGGGAGAGGATTGTGATTCCATGAGGGTAGTCTGGGGGAGTTTATAAAAGGAGATTTGAGCAGCTTTAAATGTAAAAAAAAAAAGGGGGAATCTGACAACAGGTGTTGTTTTAAGTCGTGGATACTATAAATAAGCAAAAAGCAGACCGAGCCAGAATCCCCTGCAATATGTTGGCAGAAACCTTTGTGCTAATTAAAAMCTCTTAGCATGTCTCTTTATTTAAGTCACTGACTCAGGCATTAACATGAACATAATTTTCAAAATATATACAAAATTTACCCTAATCCTAATCTAACCCTAACCACTTAGCCCAGGACATTTTTTTCCGAAAATTAACCTCAGTAGCTTTGTGCCTCATGTTAACCAGTTATTTTCTCCAAGATTAATTTTAGTAKCTTTATGCTTCATATTAACCAGATTATAATATATCTTACTTTGACATTTGGACCACAGCAATCTAGGGACGATTGTTTTCTCTAAGATTAACCCGAGTACTTTTACCCCTAAAGCTAACCACTTAGCCTAGGACATTTTTTTCTGAAATTAACCTCGGTAGCTTTGTGCCTCATGTTAATCTTCAGTACCACAACTCTGTTTTAACCTGGCCCAGATTGTTTTCTCCAAGGTTAACCCTAGTAGTTTTATACCTCATGATAACCAGATTGAGCCTGAACAGCACAGAACAAACAGTTACACTAAATTTGATTTAATTGACACACAGCGGGGCTTGATCAACCCTGTCTGGGCCATCCTTGGGTGAGGGTGTGTAGTGGTAATGGCCGAAACACCCGATGATCCTGAGGTTCAATACTGATGATGTGTCCAACATTAATTCCTTAATTAACGAAAACACCCATACGGTAAACGTTTGAGTACTGATAAAGGAAATACGTTTTCAGAAAAAAAAATGGGAGTAATAATAATGTTGAAAATACCTGTATGGTACACTTGTGAGTACTGTTTTTTAACAGCACAATCTTTATCCTTTTATTATCACAGTTGGTGGTCTGTTCTAAACTAATTCATTAACTAACTAGGAATGATACACCTGTACGGTGAACTGATAAGTTGTCTGGACATCACAACGACCTATATTTACTTTTTACTATGCTTGAGTTTGACTGAGGGAGAAAGGAACTACCGGTACTGACGAACGTGCGCCGGCCCGTGCATCTTACCTTTGGCTCCCCAGTTCAACTGCCCAGTCGTCGGACGAGGTGGGGGGAGTCATCGAGAGAGTGTAAACAACCTAACCCTAACCCTAACCCTAGTCTTTTTATTGAGCCACAGTTTTAATAACTAAACATAACTAAGCATCAAAAAGTGAAATTTTACATTCAAAGAGAAGAAGAAGAAAATCCCCCAATCTCAAAAGACACCTTTTTAGATCTGTCATCTACATCAAACAGTCTAAACACCTTGGTTTCATAGCTTTGGATGACAAAYGCATTGGTGAATTTACGACACAAGGTCTACAAGTTTTTGTGCATCCATTTCATTTAACAGAAAGGTCACGGTGACTTACATTCGTTTTCAAACAGATGAAATTGCATGCCGAGCAGCCCCATGGCTTTGCAGAAAGTGTAGGCAGCAGAACTCTTCTTCTTTGGACAAAGCTTCAAGATCTACGGGGAGAAAAAAGGCGACCGATGGAATCGTTCAATATTYATTCAAAGAGAAAGACATTCAGCATTAACGTGCAGCGTAACCTTCAAAGGGTTTCAGATTGGGCGCCATTGCTTTCATTTGTATGAAGACTGAAAGTGCGGCGAGCTCAGATCAGGATGTATTGGTGACGTTCCGGAGCTTTTTCATCCAATGACCTTCCAGTTGGAGAAAAATGAGGCAAATCTGCTCGGCGATGATACTGTTTGGTAGAATTTTCCAGGCAAGAAGTATCAGACAAATCGACTGCGGTGGCACTTTCAAACAGCTCAACGTGTTCAAGCTGCCGGAACAGGGGACACATTTAAAGTCTTTTCTYGGTCCCGTGGAAAGATTTTTTTTACAGCGATTTTTCCCGTCTTTCTAAAATGTCACAAGAAAATATGACACTGGAGACTGTCAGTTCTGAATGAATGGAGATCACCTTTAATGTTGGATGATGACTGGTTTCAAATTGGCCTTTAATGCTGCATGGAGAACAGACACAAAATGGCATCAATGTGTGCAGCTGGACCACATCAGCCACTCTAGTTATGAGAGTAGTTAAATACTTTGAATAGATGACCCCTCTGTGTCTCTTGATGAGCACTTTAATTATGTCCAGCCTTAAACTTTTGATGTCTCAACCCTCCATGAAACTTTGAATCGAGTGAAATGCTACTTTACCATCAGCCTTAATGACTTCTCTGTGGGGGAAAGACCTTTGTCTAAAGGTACTCTGCTGCTGCTGCTGCTGCTGCTGCTGCATTTACTACCATCTATTATTAGAAGGAAGCACTGGAAAGTCCTGAGTTATAAAACAACATAAAAGACGAGGAGCTTTCAGAAATGGCTCAGCAGAAGCAGGAGATGGTGCATTGCAGCTGTCACAACAACAACAAAAAGCAGCTTTAAAGCTTTTCATGGAGACAATTTTAAAAATGATGTGCATGTGTGCACAAAATAACGTTTAAATATCCAAATATAAAGTAGAAAGGAAATATAAGGAAATGTTCCTGACTAAAAGCACATTAGAGTTGAGTGAATTTTCCACATTCAAATATCCAAACCAGAGATTTCACACGGTTAGTGGAAACAACGCCCTTTTAAACTTTTGTTTAGGAGAAACAACCCCCCCACACACACACACACAACATTAATAATACGTCTGCCCATTTCTCGTTTCCAAAAGAGCTCAAACCTCTGCTTAAATGAGTTCAACACATAACATAAAGAATACAGAAAARGGTTTGCATTTGACAATCTAATCTTACCACGAGGAGATCATTGAACAGGAAGACTTCTCTCTGATGTGCTGCCTGTTTCTGGGCCTTGTTGACGTCCGTCACCTCGAAAAGTCGACTGCAGCACACCAGTCTTCTGTGAGGSACAGAGAGAACCTGGAGACATGAATGAAACAGAAATGAACGACGACTCAGAAACTAAAGACCACAGAAATCCTGTCATGCTCCGTATTCACGTTAAAGCTTCTGTAGGACTTACACTTTAATCAGAAACTTATTTGCAAAAATAGTGACATTACTTGAAGGAACACATATTTTTCCACCTTTTATGCCTGAATTTGAGACTAACATGCTGATAAATAGTAGAGTTGTACTTGTTTTGGCCAAACTATTAAAGCATATTCTTATGCTACAAGATGACTCAGCAAAACAATTAAACAAAATGTGAGCTCAGTATCAGTCAGTTTGACTGAGTTATAGCCATTTTTGTGTTGGATAATGTTACATAGCTCTGGCAGTACATTTACATCCAGTGATTACATTCTGAAGGTTTCACTAAAATATGTCGAGTGGTTCATGAGATGGAATAAARGTCCCGACTGAACATTAATTAGGAGAACATTTTAAAGTGAGGAACATAATTTGATGGGTTGTTGCTGCGAGGTTAGACCACAGAATAGTCGTGTCCATGTTTGGCAGCCACATAAATATCCAGGATGGAGCTGGTTTGTCCAGATGCAGCCTTGGATGCAGGACGTACTGTATCTGTCGAGCTGTCAGAGGTAAGCCCTGGCATTACTCCTACAGATAATAATGATGTGGAGGCGAGCCACGGCCAAATGGGTGTAAGTTCATAATGTCTTCAGGGCAGGATGGGAGTTTGGAGAGTTTAGGCTCGTTCTGGAGCTGCACCTGTGTACTGATCGCTTCCAGCTCTACTTCAGCCTGAATACAAAGCAATGGGACAACTTGTTAGCAAAACTGAGAGACTTGGTAATTAAAGGTAATCGTCAGAAACATCCTTAGTGTTTTTTGGACAGGAAATGAGGGTTTTTGCTTTATTTTAACAGTCCTTGTGTTCACAGTTTTTGGTTATAGCTAATGTTTTCTTTTGTGTTTCTTTGTTCTATTTTTATTTGACTAGTTTTTGGCTGTGTCCAAATTCACGGACGAGGTCCTCCGAAGGCTGAATTTGTTGGCCACTTACGTCACAGCGTCGAAGACTGTCCAAAGACTCTTCTTATGCGGCCCAAATGCGTCCTCCTGTTTCCCCGATTTGACGGACTGGTTCAATGGATCCTTCTCAGCCCACCATAACCCATAATTCATTTCAGGCCAACAAGAGATTTTTTTCCYGCTCGTAATGGCGAATGAAGCGAGTGAAAGGAGTACAGTTTTATATAAAAATCTGGCAGTATAAAAATTCCAGGTTACAAATGGTTGTGTTGTTAATGCTTTTATCATTTGTATAGACATGTCTTTAATATTATATTTTTCAGAAATCAAATGAGTCCGTATAGCAAAATATAGCCCCTACCCTTAGTCCCTTAGTTTTTCAAATATTACCTTTAAGCTAATTTTGTTGTTTTATGATATTTATAATGCTAATATATAGATATTTTCCTAATTAAAATCTATTTTTGCTTCTGTTTAGCATCTTCACACTTGCTAGGMAACAGGACACATGCCAGGGTAAGGGAGGGAATAAAGCAGAAGATTTCTGGTCTTCGCGGTCGACCAAAGACCCAGCCCATCTTGACCCGGGTAGTCCGAGTCCTTCGAAGGACCTGGCCCCTGAATTTGGACGCAGCCTTTGGGTGTTCTTTGCTTCTCCCACAGTCAATACTATTCCAGTCAGTCTGCCACGCCCATACACCTGCCCCTTGTTTAATCAGCCACAGCTGCAGCCACTCTACTCATCAGCTCTGTCTATGTAGTCCCCCTAGCTTATTTGTTCTCTCATGGCTGGGTTACCATCGTGTCTCCTTATGTTTGCACCAAACTCCTGTAAGTTTTTGCTGCCACAACAGCTTTCTTTTGTCTTTTAATCAGATTTAGCCCAAAGTCTCAGTCTGCATTTCTGGGCTCTAAGCTCYTACATCTTTATTTTATCATTTATTTTTAGTAAGTTGCATATTACCTCCCTTAGTTAGTGTCACTTCTACTGCAGAGGTTTTCTGAAAAAGATACTCAATCACAAAAACAAGTTGTTACGTCCGATTAATTTGGCAATCCCAGAATTCTGGACAAAGACAAGTAAAGGTGGATGCGGTGAGGTATTGCTCTTGGAGATTTGACATAGACTTCTCGTCTCATTGTCCTTCCATATTCTGTTTCTCCCTCTGAGCCTTAAGTGGCTCTCCAAGTTTAAGCAGATTACACTGGAAAATGGCGCATGCCTTCAGACAGGGAGCTAATCGTGTTTTCACCCTCTTCAAAYTCTCGTCTGTCTTTTGCTCCTCCCATATCCCATCACCACGAGGTGCCCAAGCTCCAGCCTGTCACAGGGAGTGTTTCATTAAGCTAATGTAAGAATCATGTGAAGACGTCATTGGCCTGAAACCACTCTTGTTATTAATCTGTGAAAAAAAAACAATAGTCCTGAAAGAATTGCGGAGATAAAGTGACCATTCGCCAATGTATAAATCAATAAAACAAACGACACCACAATACAGGCCGAATAATTTTACACTTTGTTTAAAATGGAKCACATTTGGTTGTGAAGTTTTATAATCAGATTGGAGTAATGGCTGTGAAATATTTATCAAAAAGGACAATTAATMTCATGTTCTGAATCTCTTCTTACTCTAAAGGATAATAAGAACTGGTAACTCTACTGAGGAGGGAAGAAACTTTATCAAAGTCTCTTCTTTTTTTGTAGAAGACAGGTCCCATTGGCAGAAAATAGTCTCTTCCTATCACAATAATCCATCATTGTTTGACGATGGCAGCTCTCCCTCTGTAATCCCACGGCTACTCATCTATCACTGAGAGACACTGAAAGGCACAAGGCAGAGAGGGAGACGAGCAATCTCTTAATGTCAGCATTTCAATGTCATTTGAAAAGTTGGGGTGTAACAGAGTTTAATTTTTTTGAAGGTAATTAAGATGTGCATTCATAGCTACATTATTCTATCTATAATGGATAAAGAGGGAGGGAAACGTTGACACAAAGTGCAGCTGAAATTGGTGGCACGTCATTATTTCTACTGTTTATTTACTCTATAATCTTTTTGCTGAGCGATGTCTATAGAGATGTATGAACGACAGATTCTAACAACTAATGTAAAAACAAAATACTCAAATTTGACCTGTTCCCAACTCTGCTAATGTTTCTGCAGATATTTGATGTTTAAATACAGTATATTTGTTGGAATATTTCTGCTTCAAAGTCACTTCGAAGTCCCAACTTCCATTGCTTTTACCATTTCCACCCTGTTCTGTTTTGGTTTTCTTAATCTTTTTAGGTTTYAATTCTACTTATTTCCACCTCTGATGCTTCATTGTTCCAACTAGGTTTCCTACCTCGGATGTAACTGTAAACTATAAAGGACACTGTTGCAACTTTTCAGTAAAAGTTACACCGAGTTCATTTAAACTGATGATGAGTCTAATGATAGCTGTAGTTAATGATGTATCTTGTGGGAGTAATGATCTGATGTGATGATTGAGCTGTAGATGAGACATTTAATGACTATTAAATATGCAAAGTGATTATGATAAGGAATTGAATAACGACCAAATTAAAGGTTTTTTTTTTGTTAATTCTGTCTCATGTGTACTTGTAACTTGTAAACCTCAGATTTTAACATGTTTCCTTACTGTTTTCATGCCTACGATGGACTGCTCAACCTTGGACACGTAGGTGACGTGATCTTCGTTGGAGCACAACTCTCTCAGCTGTATTCTTTCGTAGATGCCCACCACCATGTCTCGGGGTATGTCCGCTCCATCATCCACACCTGGGACAGAAACAGGTAAGATTGACACATGGCAAGAAAAGAGCTTTAGGTTTTACCAAACTCTCTTTGTCCATCTGGAAGCACATAGAGCGACAGCTGTTTTAATAGTTGTAAAGGAGCTCCGCTTTGTCCGAACTGACCTAAACGCTGGACTGATGGTGTCACAGGAAAATTTACAGGCTCACATTTTTAGATGTTTTTGTTTAAAACAAAGCTGAAGTAGGTTGTGTAAAAATAATAAAACGTAATGGAACTAGAGAATTTGCACTTTCTGCAAAAATGCAGTGTTAATGCTTCATGCTTAAGAAGTTTTACAGAAAAAAACAGTTGTAATTTTTTTTAGCAATTTCTTGTTAAATAGCCAAAAAAGCTGAAATTAGCAGAAAAGTAAATAAAAAGTAGTTGAATGAAGCAACGAGAAGCAGAAAGAGCACATTTGCCAAATTAAGCAGCAAGAAGCTGAAATGCAAAAAGGCTAATTTAGCCGCAAAAAGCTAAAAAAATAGCTTAAATAGCAGAAAACAATAGAAAGAAGCATAAAAAGCCTAAATTAGCTGAACGAAGCTGATTGAACTATAAAAATATTTAAATTATAACATCTGAAAATATAAAAAAGATAGCTGAAAAGCAGAAAAAAAATTAATAAAAAAGAAGCTGTGGGAAGCTAAAATTGACTAAAAAAAGGACCAAAATGCAGAACCAGAACAAAAGATGAAAAGTGCAGTAAAAGTTTATATACATTTGAAAGAGTTTTCTGGATGTTGAATGAAGCTCCATTCAATTTCACTTAAAAAAAAAGGCTGAAAAAGCAAACCATCTCAAAAGGTATTAATAGCTGAAATACCAAAGACGTTGCTAGAATCTATCTATCTATCTATCTATCTATCTATCTATCTATCT